CGTCAGTGAAATCATCAGATTGAAGTAGTTCTGGATCAATGAAGGAATCCGCATAGTGGGATGCTTCATATTGACTACCAGATGCTTGCGATTACGACATGATTAATGAAGAATAAGAAGGGAGTAATGACTGTAGATTCAGAGTGAGACTCACAAATATCAGAACTGAAAATATCAGAGATATAGGCAAATGGAGCCATGAACACGACTTTGATGTGTTGGATAAATAATACCAGACACTAATTGGGTATTTTCAGGCAGAAGTGGATATTTAGTGGATAGTCTGTTGGATATCCAATAGATATCCAACAGATATTGGATGGATATCCAACGGATATCAGCAAAATCCGTCGATCATGAAAATTAAAATGAACACCATTAAGTCCGTCAAATCTGGTTTTTGAGTGTAGTTTTCTCTCTACTTTTATATACGGACATGTTAATTTAAGGTTATATATAGCTTTATGATGCTTTTCTCTATCTTCCTGTGCAATTTTAAATGGAATTCAACAAAATTTCATAGATTAATGTTATACTGTAGTCCTTTGCTAGAAAATGTACTTAGCTCACACTATGTTAAATATATATTTCCACCCTGACTGTGTGAATCAACCAACAATCATAGAATTACTCGCAACCATGCCTTATTTACTCTAAAATCCATGCCAAATCTATCATTTTAATGGTATTTGATGATAAATACAAGATCATTTCTTATTATTTCATATAGTACGTAGGGGAAAGTGCAGAATAGTATTGTCATAACCAAAACATGAATACGTTCGGTTTTAAAACAGGGATTTGTCAGCTTCATAACTGTCACCTGATAGTCTGGAATAGGGTAAATTAGCGAATTTTATGCTAGTGCGGATATTTGTTGGGTATCCAACATATACTGTTGGATATCCAATGGATATCCGCAATTGGACTTCGATATCGGGATGATATCCAACATCCGCAATTTGCGGACTTGGATGTGGTGACTACATCCAAGTCGTACGATATGCCGCAGCCTAAGCATGATGCTAACATTTCTTGTTCTAACTTATAGGCAGCGTGTGGTTACAAGCGTGAAAAACAAAAACCGTCAAGAGAAAGGCAGTGGCGCAAACAAGAACCCCTTCAAGCCATTAAAACAGGGTGTCAAGCAGCCTCCAGCAGCAAACCAATGGAGTAACAACCAGCAATACACATCGCCAGAGGAATTCCCGTTTGCGTCGAGTCTTCAAGGTGGAAGAGGGTATGTTGGAAATAGTTCATCTCCTTTCGACGCTGTTTGAAGAATGATACGCTGACTGTTCATGGAAAGAGCATATCTTTTCCCTGCTATTGGCGCATCCCAGAGTTCTCAAGGAGCTTCCATGACAAACCTGTACAGGGATTACAGTATCGACACATATGACCCGAGTTGCGGCAATGAAGATGATACCTGGTATGAGATCACAGGGTTCACTGGCGATCTTGGGTAAGTTCTTATTTATCTATTCATGGAACGTCCTGTCGCTAACTGATTGGGTAGACCACACTGCAAGGCGTTTAACAGCAACGACAAGAGTGTTTGCAGTAAGAGCAGCCCGGGCGATTGGGGCTTTGATGTCGCCGACTACGCATATGAGTATGATGGAACCAACTTCAACTATGTTGGGAAGTAAATGTGAGAACTCATGGCGTTGAAATGGTATATTATAGGCACTTTCTTTACTTGGCGTTTAGCGTGGCGTTTAATGGAAAATGAACCATTTTCCTGTATTTGAAGCTATCTTTTAATTTGAACGTCATTTCTTTTATATAATCTGCATCGCAAATGTACAGCAATCCCTTCCCACGACAAACATTGGAGTAGTTGCCGAGAGTGGTTCCTCTTACATTTTGTACCATATAACGGGTCGTTCACTGCTTCGGCGTACGCCTTTGGAATCCTCATTCCAGCTTTCTCTGTTCCTTTGAGAGCTAGCCCATGCTCCCAATCATTTCACGTGTGCATGCGGTGGAAATCGGGCGTCGTGGCCATTGTTGATTGAACCGGGTCCTAGTCCACAAAAAGGAGTCCAGTCTCTTGACCTCTTTTGAGTAGAGGGAACACGTTTTTGATGAATCAAAAGTCTCGAGTTCATTCTAAAGAAAATTATCGATTAGAATAGAATTTTTACCTGATCTCTTACATTCTCCGGCCGTCCACTCGGGAGTATTATTATATTTCTGTATACAGTCGGCAGCCGACTGAAAACGGCATATAGCCGCCTCAGCAAATATCAACCTCATTCGTGATGTCATGCTAAATAAATTCGTCATATATAAAATTTCTTCTAGAAACAAAGGTTTTTCGCTATAAATCCACTGGGTAAAAGCAGCATGTTGACGGAGATTGACAGTCTTGACATTCATGTCATCGTCAATGACGAGCTCGACCCCATATCCCCAAGTCCCAATGCCGCGGTGAAGGTCCCGAGTCGGTTCATGGGTATCCCTCTCACTCCTTTGAGACCAGGCTCGGAGCGTGGAGATGCGTATGGATGATATCTGCTGCGCTTCTCATGGTATTTCCTTGCTTCTTGTATGTGGTTTCTCCCTTCCCCTTCCCGTTACTATTTGGCAGACTTTGACTTGGACGCGGCGTGGCTGACGACGAGACAGATTGCAACCAAGGGAGATAGGAAGCACTATCTCTTGTTTGATGCAGGACCTGAAGGCGAAGTTTGGGATAGAAATTCCCGTCGTCTCCGAGCAGAAATCGGCCTGATAGACCACTCGGGTGAGTAAAAATTCCCCGATTAGACTTACAGTTTATCCGGATCTCGCTGAGGTTAGAAATGACAGGTGGCTTGACTAAGGCAATTGATTCCATCAAGAACAGTAACAATTGTGAGGAGCCTGTGATGATGGACGTTCACCCAAACCGCCCAGCATTTCGTGGAGTCCAGGCAGATCGCCCGATTTCCCTCGAAGCAGATCCCTCGTTTGAAGAATTAGAGGTGGCCGGAGCGACTCTGCTGAAGAGTGATCAGCCACACACCGTTCTAGATGACTTTTTCCTCGTCTCTGGAGAAATTCCGCGCCAGACTAAGTATGAGGATGGCATACATGGTGGAGTTTGCTTTAACCCATCCACTGGAAAATGGGAAGAGGACACTCTGATCATGGAGGAGCGCTATGTTATGTGCAACCTTAAAGGTATGTGGGTCTGTAGTAGACCTCGGCACCGCCCGCCCACGGGCGGTGGGAGGCCGCCCGTCGCCCACCCGTTTGAGCCCATAGGGCGGTCACTGGGCGCCCGCGCCCACCCAGGGTGCCCGTTTTAGCCCATTCTGTGCATAATTTTCCTAATCGGGAAGCATAACTTGATGATTCAGCTAATAAATTAGTTACTTTCAACCCTGACTAAGCCGTGTTTCCGACAGGTACTAACAAACTAAGTCGCCCATGGCCTGTTGCCTTGCTTGCCTCTCAGCACAGATATCCTGCTGCCTACCATGCACGGTGACTAGGCCGCTCCCTTTTGTCAAGTGGGCCAACTAGCACCCCTGAGAGGGGTTTCGCACCAGGGTGTGAGTGGCCGTAGAATATCGCACCCCTCTACAGAGCACCCACGCTAGTCGCGCGAGCGCCAAGATTTCACACCACCTCGCACCTTTTAGGTGCCGTCACCCTACTATCGACCGCATTTAAGCCACACGCCGGCCGGTTAGTAGTTGGGTGGGTGACCACCAGCGAATCCCAGCTGTTGTATGTTTTTATGTCTTTTTTTGGTCTCTCTGAGCGGTGATTATTTTTGCCCTTTTCTCATTGCTGCTCAAGGGTTATGGTTGGGTGATCTCTAGTTGGGTGCAGGTGCTTGGTGGGTGTCACGGACTCGGGGACTAGTAGATACTGACGAGATGATATTCCTATCTAAACTAGTGTAGCCATCAACGAGAATAATCGAATCTGGAGAGAGAAGAAGACAAGAAAAATCCATCTAAATGATATAGTGTTCTTTATAGGGGGAAGCATTGGAGGAAGCAATTAGAACGCTATTCTCAACACACTTAGCCAAAGAATCAAGGACTTCGGTATCATAAGGGGCGAGGAATTACAACACCTTTGCAAGAATTTCAAATCTCTCTGCACAAACGACAATGGAACAAAAATCATCACCCAGTCCGCCTTCATCTCATTACTTCAGACCGCCGGAGTCCTGCCACCATCCATGGCACAAGCAGGTGCTCTAATTTACAACAGCCTTCTATACCTTTCTCAAGCACCATTCTATGACTCCCTATCCTTGCCTACACACTTGACATTCGATGGCCTCCTCAGAGCACTTGTCTGGACTGACTCCGAACGCTCCAGACCTGTCTACGAAGAAAGCATTGATACTCGAACCAGAGCACCAGCTGATACCCGTCGCCTCATCTTCCAAAGTCTCGCGACAACTTGTGACGGGAAGAGATTGCCCTTTGATGCGGAATTCGCGAGGATGCAGGCTGAGCGCAGGGCGTTTGATTTCACTAGTGTATTGAATGGGGACAGTTGGAAGGTATATGCAAGACAAATTATGATGAGGATGGTGATGAGATGTTCCATGATTTGCTTGATGTGTTATATGTCGTTTCCTAACCCCCACAAGTAGGGCGGGGTGGCATTCCACGAGATGGGTTCCGGAAGTTTGCTAAGGAATTTCGTGGAGAGCAGCCGGAGCGTCTTCACAATTTGAGTATCCCGCAGGATGAATTTCAGACTTTGGTGAAGATGCTTTTGGTTACACAGTTTGGGAAACCGGTTGCTCAGATCGAGCAAGATGCCGATCTGGATCGTGTTGCAGATTGCGTTGTTAGAGTGTTTGCTCAGGTTCCTGGTATGGGTATTACCTGGGAGATGTTTGACCAGGCCATCAATAAGACGGTATGTCTCGCACGCTCTCCTGATTGAAGGGTTCGATAGAAAGGAACTAACTGAAGAAAATAGCCGGAGTTATTCAGAGGCTATCACCGCCTCCTATCCTCTCTTTACAAGACGTATGACGAGAACGACACCAAGACCCCTCTAACGCCACCTAAGCTAGGCAGCATAGCCACACTGCCTGTTTTCTCTCAACTGGGAATGATTCTCATTGAGACGCTGAGCTTTCCCAACCTTCAGCTACACAAGCACTATGATCTTGATGAGAATATGTCGACAACAAACGTTGCTGCTCTTGCGGAACAAATTACCACAATCCCAGCTGAAGAAGCTGTCATCATCCTCCTTATCTCTGGTCGCCTTACACAGATGAACGAAAAGCTGGTTTTCGGATATCACCTCCCATGGTATGACTCCTCTGATAAGGAGGGAAGGAATCACTGTCTCTTGTTCCAACTAAGCCCCGTCCACGATATGTTTAGAGGTTATAATGCCGAGCGGCCAGGGTTTAAGATCGACGAGAACGGGAGCCTTATTTTCGGAGAGAAAGGGAATGGAGTGGCTTTGGTGTTGGAGAGGGAGCTTAAGCGGATGACAGTCTTTCACAGTGTCTCTTCTGGGAATGAGATTTATGGTGCGACGTCTTGGAGGGGAGATTGGCAGATGGATGTACAGGTGGAGGAGATTGAGATGTGGCTTGAGGTGTGATGTGGATAAAGTCTTCAGAATATATTTTCAGTCGTGCTGCGGATTTGCGGCTACCGTTTCGTGGATCGTGTCAGTCATGAAAACATGTACTGCAGGTACTGTTGTAGTCAGGAGCCGAATTCATTCTGGCTGATCCAATTCAACATTGTCCCTGTCTTGGGGAGATTAAAGAATCCTTTTCAAAGCTCGGTATGGTGGAAACCACGCGGGGTCCCCGTGATACCCCACGTTCGGGAGTATGAACACGTTTTGGATACATAGTACCGAGCGCCATGTGTTGCCATCTCCAGGTTTCTTGTGTTACATCGACAGCAGGGACAAATAGGGTTAACTATCTCAGGGTGTGGCTACACTTGAGATCGATCCTAAGTAAGAACATATCGCTGGTATTCCGCCCCCCTCCCCTCCGCCCCTGGCGCTAGGCTCCGTAGACATGCATCTTCGCCGAGGTAATGAATAGAGAAATAAGATGAGTCTGAACGGTAATCAATAAAGGGCTCAAGAATTCGAATACAATAAAATATTCTAAATTTCATAGGAAATATGGTTGCTTACTATTATCGAAACCTGTAATGACTGTGACAAGTGTAAATTACTGTTATTTATTTGGTAGCAAGTTCTGCATCATATTCATGCATAGATGGGCCCTTAGCGGGTTGACCATGGGCTGTAGGGTCAGCCGCGGGCTCTAGCTAGACGGGCCCTGGGCCTTGCATAGGGTCCAGGGGCGGGCTCTGCAGAGGTCTAGATCTCACTGCCTCAACGCATCTGTGACTGCACCACAGATGCCGTCAGTCTTTTCTTCGAGGCGATTCAATATCCAGCAGTTTCCCGCTCCACCTGGCAGAACACAAATTTATCTAGTATGTTGTCCTTTAGTTTCAGTTCCAGCTGTCCTTTGCCATCTGTGACGGCTTGACGCTGTGTCGACGCCAAGACCAGCAAACAGCATCAATGGAGCTAACAACGCCACCATGCAAACAGATAAAGAAAGCCCTAGCCTTGCAGCTTAAGCGTGCGAACGCCGTCAGATAGCCAGATGCAACAAACACAGGACTAACCCCTTTTCCAAGCACACATGCTGTATATAGTTCTCTCTGTCGACGAGATGATTTTCTCTTTCTTCTTCCCCAGATTCGGTATTCTCGTCGATGGCTACAATAGTTGAGATAGGAATATCACTTCGTCATTATCTACTATTACGAGCTCGTGACACCATCCAGTACCCCAAGGCTGTAGAGTTTCTCCGGGGAACCCAATACTGGCCCAGTTGTAGAAATGTTCTTGAAGCCTTTGATATGAAAGAGCATACTCAGCAAGCATATATGCGGACTGAGGACTAAAGTTGGATCAAGATGATTTCTGGAATCTTAAACTCATTCCTATACAATTCTGTCAGCGAACCGGCTCCCAAGGAGCTATGAGAATAAGAACACTTACACAGCCTTCTTCCCAAGGAACCTCTTCGTGAAGTCCGGCTTCAAGAAAATAAATAATCAAGGGCATCTGCCCTCTGAATCTCAGATCAGGGTGAGCGCTATGTCCTGATAGTGAAGGTGGAGGAGTGCCCCTGGACGGCTTGCAGCTGTCACTGCAAGCTGACAGAAGAAAAGGATCTGAATACACTGCCAGCTGCAGTCAAATGTCATCTCAGTAGTGGTCAAGAGAACGCGTGCAAACTCAGCAACATCTTCAATATTCATGTTCTTTCTTTGGCCGCCGGTTGAGCTCTAGGCCTTTCTCTTTGGCAACAATGGCGATGACCTATACATTCATCGGCGGCTGTTCCTTACTTGGCAAGAACAGAAGGGAAATGATATACTCACATCCTGCACCTTGACAATTATAACTTTGCTCAGTCCTGACGCCGTTTCCTGTTTCAGAACAAGATGCCATGGCTTCCAGAATGAGTCAAGCAAGCTCTTGAATCCAATGCCTGGGCAGTGCCAACCATTCTTGCTGTGACAGATATCACACCGCCAGCCAAAGAATGCATACAGGAAACAGACTGCCTCATCTGAGTCTGAGATCCATTGCCAGTGCTGTACCGGGTTGACACCAATATGCCGACAATATCTGCCAGGAAGCCACCAGTGAGCTTTCAACATAGCCTAAGGGTCAAGAGAGTTACCTACCTATTCCGGTACATGCGGGTCTCATTGAGTCTTTCCTGAGTGCCATCACTGTACCGCTGCTGTCGAAGCTGGGAGACATTCAAGCTCTCTGCTTGGGTCAAATAGTGTTCAGGAAGCAGCTGGCCCTCATCATTGGAGATATCGTTGCTGGGTTCCTCTTCACCATCCGAATCCTCACTATCAAGTTCCGGGTCGCTGGTGGAGTCACTATCAGATCCGTTATCTGAAAATGTCTTGGTCAGATCAGAGCTGGCATCTATCTGATTCTCATTGTCGTCAGATCCAACCGGTCGGGAGCGAGGCGCCATGGTCGACACAGCAAACAAAGGAAAGCCCAGAGTAGGAGATAAAGGTGGGGATAGCAGCGGTAGCAGGGAAGCACACGGTCGGCATGATGGGACTTATAACTGAAGAGAGCATGATGGTCGAGGGGGGAGCCAAAAAAGGCTCCCTCCACAGCGACCGCAGCGACCGCAGCGAGAGCGTCTGGATCGATGATGTTGAACGAAATAGCAACAAAAGTCCCATTTTGAGACTAGCGTCAAGGAACATGGAACTCGTGGCCTGGCGTGGAGGGAAAGCCCGTGGCCATGAGAATACGCTCGCCTGATGCCTAGACGGGATTTGGTTAGCAGGACTCCTAAAACGGCCGCCGAAGTAGCCCTTTCTGGCCGCCTGCTAACCGTCACATCAGTAAACGGAGGATTTGTATTGCAGCACCTACAGCTTTGATTGAGGTTGCAATAATGATAGTGCTTCTATCCTTAGCTCAATACCTATAATTTGTATGGCAACTATGATGACTCTTTTCTTATTTGCTGCGCTGGTCAATCTTATTTTATGACATGTTTATTTCGTTCGACTATACATGAATTTATCAATCTAATTTGGTCTTAAATTCTTATGAGACTCATATTTCCAGGGCACTATTTTTTTCTCAGTCAGTATAAAGCTTCAGGCAAATTCTTTCAAACATATGGGCCACTTGAATACGGTAAATATCCGGGGACGGGCTGTAGCTCAACAGAGCGCGAGGCCCAGGCTCAACTCCCGGCTTCCTGTTATCTTCTTCTGCTTTTTTTATTTTCTTGTTCCTAGCGATATGTACACGTAATCATGGCGTTAAGCTGTTTACTGTTGTTGCTTATTATAAGCGGCGATTGACCGCGCCTGGCAAAAACCACAAACTCCAAGCAAGAGTCTCTATATAGACCCCGCAAAATAGAATTAATACAATACAATTCATCACCCACATACTAAACAGCCATGTCGTACAGTACATCAAGTAGCGATTCGAGTAGTTAATCTAATAGTCGGACGGACCCATGTGGTGCAGTGTAGTGGGACCGGGTCGAAAGCTAGTCACTAGCGCCCGCTGTCAAACTTATTTCATCATTGCTGACATACAGCACCAGTATAAAAAGCCGTAGAACTTCAAAATCGTATCTATATACCAAGACTGCCCAATGTGAAGAAAGGTATAATAAACCGAATCTTGTATAGTGCGGTGCTACTTCTTCCAAAACTACTGGAATTCATTTTGGTCAATGTTGATATGCACACGCTTCTCATGTCGCAGCGTGTTTGTTACATGTAGTATAAAATAATAATAGGTTTTAAAGCACTACAGCATGCATTATTTTTCGGGCTATCGAGTCGACCGATTTTTTGTATTATCAAAGGATGGAGAACCCCCTTCTTGAGCAGAAATCTGGCCGCGGTTTATAGATCCAGACTGGAGATTCAAAGATGCTCGACATTGTACAACCCGATCAAGTGCTGGGCCCATGTCACAAGACTTGGGTATCCGCGCCGGAACATTAACGCCAGAGACTCAGGAACGGTATCTCAAAAGACACCGCGGGCTAGTATTGGAGGCAACTGTGAAGTAATGCAATGCTGTCATATCTGCGAACGCGGCAGCTGAATTTCTGCAGAACATTGACACGGAGAAGGTAGGTTTAGGGCTATGGTTGGAAGGGGTGGTGGTCGCCTCTCTGAGGTTTGAATCGAAGCGATCCACGGGGTGTCAACAATAAGTACTACGGGGAGGGATACAGTAAGATGGATTAGGTTCTCTTTCTCATCTTGTGGTTTGATACATTTTACGAGCTTTGCGCACAGGATTGTAGATGTACATAACCAGAATGTTGTAGGAATAAAATACAGTTAATGCACAGAAAGTAAAAATGCCATAAATGTTAGTATTTCTATCCGCACGACGGCTATTTCCGCGCTTTGGCCGGTATTATTGCCTTTTTCTTGTTGTGGCAATTCAATAACCTGCATCTATTCTTTCCATCCATACTATGTCCCGTGGTCGTACATTTCTTTGTCCCTCACACTAGCGTCAAACACACCGTCAAGCCTTCGGATACTGCAATTCAGCTCAGGACTTGCCTTTCTTACTATTCATCTTGCTGCAACGCATCCTGCACTCATACTACACCAGCAAATAACGAACCAACCCTCAGGCATTGATAAATGGTCTTTTTATAAATTTGTCTTTTTATAAATTTGTCCTTTCGATCTGTCTGGTAGGATCCTCAATATCACACCCCTTCTTCCCCATGCTGCCCAACAGGTTGGGCTTTGCCCAGCTAGCAATGCTAAACCACTTTGCTAATGACATCCTGAAAAGAAAGCTCGTCCCCCAAGTTTGATACAGGCTCGACCACTCGACGAACATTCCAAACCACCGGCGGCCTCACTGTATAACCTCTGCGATGCTGGGATACTCAGGATAGCTGTGCGAGATTCCAAATTGCCAATACGGTGATGGAACACTTGGCATCCACAACAATAAATACAGGACCTCCGACAGACGAGAGCGTTTGCATACTGCTTCTGTCGGGTACGTGCTGTGGTCTTACTCTGGTTGATCCTTGCTAACATGGCATAGACGCGGTCCTTCAGGTCTTTGAAGAAGTCGTGGGCAAAAATGAGTCGGCACTCTCGCATCCGGACATCGTCTGCCTAATAGCTCCCACAAGGGAGCAGCAACAAAGTATCATGATCAATGCCCTCTCCTTCGTCCTCTTTGACTTCACCCACCGGCTTCAACTACGGCTTCCTGCAATAGGAGCGAAAGATGAAAATAGCTTTTAAGGGGAGCTTGAAATCCGGCATATGAACTGGTTGGTATTATTATCGCCATCTTAATGGTGTTAGACTAATTCACGTCAGCAGACTTGGAGGTACTGGATGGTATTATCAGCACAGCCTTGGTTAAAATCAGAGCGTTAGAAAACCTTTCAATTGCGAGAACAAAGGAGCCTTTCGAACAAACCAGCATGTTTATGCAACAGATCTATAAGTCAGTAGTGCGCAACCTCCGTCGTCTAGAATCCTGGAATAGCACCGAAATTTTCGGAATGAATTCACTTGGGTGGTGGCTTAGTATAGTTACCAATCTTTCATTGCTCTAACTACAAAAGTCTCATAATATATTTACGCCATCAAACTCTAACAGAAGGCCGAAAATCAAACGATACCGAGCCCACGGACCGGCTGACGTCGCTGCAAAAACTCCTGCTTCAGAAATAATATGTCCATTTCAGGTCACACATGTCTTCCTAAACTTCCTCCTTCATCCCAAATCACCGAGGAAAAGAATCATCTCAGATTTTGAGACTTACTTTGAAAGATCCAGGAACAACTGCCAGAGAATATTAAGCAAGCCCTTATTCGAGGTGCAAGGATCCGTCGTTATATTGTGTTGAATTGTCTATATGGGTGAGTTTGTGTTTCTTTTCCAGACCTGTGCGTCGTGCCCTTGGTGTGTAGACTCGATTACATCGATGGCTCGGCACACTACGCACGAATGAAGATCGAACATGGACTCAACATGACTATCCGATACTAGGGCAAACTTCAATTTCTAGGAAGTATGGACTAAGTATTATGGTACAGAAACCTGTGCGACATGCAGGCAAGCTTTCTGGTGCTGGAAGTGAAGCCAAGGGGCAATACAGGTAGCGGCTTTACATGGTCGTAGTATAAATGTGTATGCATCCGTCTGTATTCTGGACATATCCTAAAGATTTGCTGACAATCATTCAGCAATAATACATGCTTATAGCGTAGTACAATGCAAGACACAAGTGGGTGTCGTGCTTTCATATATAGCCATGTCCGGTATTTAATAAGAATCAACGATGGTTCGAAAGTAGAGTGCCCCAGAGAAAGTCAACACAAAGCCCAGCTAACACGCCACAGTGGTCATGGACAACCATGACATGGTTCCAGCAAAAAGCCAAGATAATGGGAACAAGCTATGCCGCGAGCCACGGAGCTGACATGACCTCAGATGATACGTATGTCATGGAAGACATGGATTCTGGTCATACAAGTTGCGAATCAGGAGATTAGAACGGCGAGTGATGAATCTGCGGAGGAGCGCGAAACGGCTTAGACTTATATTAGTTATTAGCTTGTGCCGTTGAACATGCTGCCATTCCGGGAAAGAGATCGATACATTTTCTGTTAGCCGAACATGGAACATCGCTTGTTTATCGATAAAGAATTCATCAGAGCTGTCACGTATCATCTTCCGTGATTAAGATCGACAAACGTCTGCAGAGCCCTTTTGGATCCCTCGCTTGTTGGGCGGTGCCTATGCCGTGTCGTGGTTGATTCTCCACGTATTCTTGGGTCCGGCTTCTGATCCTTCGCTTAAGTTTTTCTTTTCTATTCTTCAGAGCTGAATCATGTATACTCCGGACTGGCAGTGTTTGATGCTGGTTAGAGATGAAATGTCGACACCGAGGAGAATATTGATCGAGTTGCGATCAAGGTGTCATAAATGAACATAAAAGGCTCGAGAATCGTACTGACATCTGTTTTCCATCGTATCATAGCCATTTTCTCTCGTTTATACAATCAACTTTCATCCAGTATCACACAATTGCAGAATATCACACCATGAGAGCCACTGCTCTCCTGTATTTCCTCTCTATGCTAGCAACCGCCAACATTGGCCTTAAATGGTCCATCACCAATGTCTCAACCTCCGGTCTCAGAGGCATAACCTTCGCTATAGCCATGTCGCGCGCCAAACACGAAAACGGGCTGTACTTCGCGTAGCAATTTGGCTTCGTCGGCGTCGACGACATCGGCTACACGGGTCCGCAATCTAGATCCGATACCGAGAACGGGACTAGTATCGTGCATGCTGTATTCTCGGGCTTCGTCGCTGGCACGACGAGTACAGATGTCGAATACTGCAGTGATGGCGCTGACGGTGGTCCAGATGCTGGGCCGTTCATGTTCCCGCGCCGTATTCGAGGCCTTTTAAGAACGTGCACGATACTATCTAGACTGGAACCCTTGTTGACGCGATCGTCAGTAACGCGACACATCGGAACGTACACACTACCCGCTAGAGCCGGCGGAATCCAGTCCTCTCAGCTTGGTTTTGCCGAGCATTTCCTGTTTAAATCAGAGGGGAGGTGGATGTGGGAAGATGCCAAAGGCAGATGCGACATTCTGGCCGCCACGGACAAATACTTCGAGTTTTGGCGCTGGGAAGCTCTAAAAGCCCTATCCGCATGGGGATTGTGCGGAAGAGGGGGGCTTTCAGACGAGTCGGGTTGGTGGTGGGGGGTATACAGCTAGGATTGGAATTTTTTATTTCAAAATCAGATCAGATCGAGATTGAGATCTTGATCCAGGGTTGTGCCTTTTGTTGAATCTTATGTTAGCGTATGTCAAATAGATGAACTGGAAACCAGCGCAGAGGTACAGGGTGGATTCCCGAGGTTGATCCCCCGTGTCCCCAATACCAGTGCGTGTATTTACTTGTAGGCCTAGCCAAGAATAGACAAATCAAGCTACCGCTCAATCGGAACTCTTCACTTACTCGTAGCGCAGGTTTCGTACGGGCACAGCCGCCCGATTAGAGCCTAAAACAACCTAGCACCGTCTTGGTCTGCACTCTCGGATAAGGTCCACCACGAATGATGGGCTGGCGGCGAATAGGACGGCCAGTGGGTTACTAGAACATAGGGTTTGCGACGGAGTTGATTTCCGGAGTCACATAGCCACATATACATATAGTACCTTTGCTCCTCGTGCAGGATAGGTTGTTGGCGGTGCCGAGCGAGGTGTCGCTGCAGAGCCTCGTATTCGGGGTGATCTTTACTGGATTTTGGTTGGATTGGGGCGGGTTTAAAAGCAGAGGGTCTGCCTTTTTTTTTGATTCGTTTTGTTTTTCGTTTTCTGTTTTCTCGTTTTGTCGGTTTGTGTTGTGAAATCCCCGGATGTTGTCCAGGGTATATTCCGCTATATATTGAATGACCGTTCGCCGATACCACGGAAATGAAGAAACTGCTGCTTCTCCGACCCCTCTTCTTTTTCACCAATCTTTTGATATCAACATCCTTCGCCCAAACCTGCTACTTCGTCAACGGAGACATCGCGATAGATGACGTTCCCTGCAACACCACCGCGTCCACCTCAATATGCTGCAGCAAAAACGATATTTGTTTGTCTAATGGCCTTTGTTATTTGCAGGGTAATAACGGTCCATCTTTTGCGAGAGGGAGTTGCACGAATAGGAATTGGCCGGGAGTTTGTGCTAATGCGAAGCCATGCCGTATGTTTTCTCGAGAGGAACTCGGTTCGCGATGAGATGCTGATTAGATACAAGAGAGCCATACTCCGCAGACAGGGTATAGGGTGGTTAACGCCCTGGACAACCAGTATTGTTGTGGAAGCGTCACCAGTATCGATAGCAACAATATAAACTGCGCAGAGGATCGTGCATTTTACGTCGCTCCCGGAACCGTGATTCCCGGAGTTGCGGCATTGAATGCATCAAATAGCGGTAATACTGCCGACAATAGCACCGATAATAGCACCAACAGCGATAGCAGCGGAACTTCCTCGGACGATAAATCAACTCGTCTCGCAGTCGGTCTCGGTCTCGGTATACCGCTTGGTATCATTGCCGGCTCCGCGCTGATCTGGGGAGCTTGGGAGAGGAAACAACGCGCTGTTTCAGCGAAGCAACTACAAGATTTGAAAGCGGGTGTTGCTGCTGCTGGTGGGCTGGGGATGGCCATGGGTGGGACAGCTCCTCATCAATATGGATATGGGTACGATGTTGCGCTAGCGCAAGTGCCGCAACCACAGTTTGCGCAGCCGGTGGAGCTGGAACATACCAGTTCACTCCCGACGGAGTTGGATTCGAGAACTGCGAAGGAGCATAAGCGTACATGATTGAGTAATGGTTTTATATATAATGGCGTTGGTATAATGCGGATGTTCGCAATGATTAGATGTCAATAAGTTTTCTCATCGTCGTGCTTGAATATGTTGTGCAGGTCATGATAGGATCTAAACATATGCTCTAAGCTGAGACGCCCTGGTCTGTCATCATCCGGTTGAGAGTTTCCATAGCCCTGCCAATAGGCGCGAGCTCGCGACAGCCATGTGAAATAAAACAGACACATTTTGATAATTTCCCAAGGCGATCCATATCTTCTACAATGCCAGGGTCATCAGTCGAGTGTAGAACATGAGAGTAAAGTAGCGCAATAGCGATATCAGGCCGATAGTATACCAGCACCATCGACAAGCCCTCTGGATAAGGGAACATGTTGCACAGCTCAATAGAAATTTCAATGACGCGACGCGATGCTTCAAGGGCAAGCGGAGACAGCAGTCCTGGAGTTCCTGTCGTGGACTTGGTCAAATGAGGCCCGATAATGCCTACTTTGCGGAGCATGAATATGATGAAGGTGTAGCCCGTAATTACAACGTCCGTTTTGGTGAATTCTTCGCCTTTATGAGCTGAAGGTGCAAGAAGCCAGTCTCTCTGGTGCTCGTTAGTTCTGAAAATGCAAAGACAGGAGTCGATGGTCTAACAGCTTGCCAATCAAGTAGCAGATCCTTGATTTCATGACACAATTCTTCAGTGCAGCGTTGCAATTCGCCATCACCCATGCCAGCTTCGTCTAGTATCCCGAAAAAGTGCATTACGATCAACGTCACCCGGGAGTGAATAATGAAAGTAGTCGCGTGTATATCCGCTGGTGGTTGGGAGCTGTTGAGCCAAGGAAGGTTGACTTTCCATGTATCTGCTGTAATCAGAGGTGGTTTGTTAAGCACAAGTCGAACGACAAGGTCGATTTGAATCAACTGCCAGAATCCTTCTCGGTCTTCGTCTGATCGCGCTTCGTCCCGAAATCCGGCATAGTCGCCACGATCAATATTGTGCAGGCCCAAGGCCCGTGCAAAATCACATGTGTGTTGGTGCATCTGCCAGGCGAGATCATCGTCAGAGCATAATAATGCGACTTGTGCCTTAACTCGCGAAAGCACACTGTCAGCATGAAACCCGCAACCAAGGGCGCATATACTGACCATGAACAATGCCGCGACAAAATCCATTGTAGAGCCTTGCACCTCTCGCTGCCAGTATGGAAGCGCTCGTAGACACGCCAAGTAGCAGGAGGTGGCATAGTGGGAGACTTGGCTTGCGTGTAGGTTATTTGCATTGAACACACATCCGATATAGAGAATTGCAAAATAGAGTATGAGTACAACAGGATCTAAATGAACGTGTGGAAGATCAATAATATCGGGCATCATCTCTATCAATTGTCTGTTGATAAGACTTCGGAAAAGATTATTCGAAGTACGAGCAAAATAGTCTGGTTATTGACTTAGCAAGTGAGGGCAGAGTATCATGGAGAGAACTTGCTGTGAAGCCATTCCTTCGCCAGATCAGTGGGTATGTGGATCGTTCCCGTTATGACTTGTCTCGAATAGAACTGCAATTTGAGCCTTCGCATCTGGTCGATGGCATCTTCGAGGATTTTTAAGGGGTCAGCTCGGGTTACCGACGAGATTGAAATAGGGGAGTTGTCCGAGTCGAAATGGCTCGACGGGGTAGTAGAAGCTGCGGAGGCACTCGGAGCCGTAGGCTCAGGCGCATCGTGGAAATTATTGTTGGTGCTTTGCTCCTCCAAGCGCTGCAATCGTCCTAAGATGGTACTTAGGACAGTGTTGTTCCTGGTACTGTAGGACAGGTTAGCTCCAGAAGATCAGCATTAGTAAATGATACTGCGCTTGGTCTATTTGATAGTCACTGCTCCGAGGATGCTTACATTCCGCGCTTCTCATGCGCGCTTTGTCTCTTGACGCGCTTGGGGTAACAGCAATCTATACCGCGGGTTTCGCATCGGTCACATCGAGGCTTAACCCGGCTGCAGCGGACCTAGTTTTCCAATGAGTGTTGAAATTCTCCGAGATGCCGACGTATGCATTAGCCCGCACCTTGCGCGCCTTGCATGCTATACACTAGAACTAAGTTAGCATGATGTCACACCCGATTAACGTTGTCCGGCATACCGAAAGGTCGTTCAACTGCGTAGACAGCATAGTTCAGCTCTGTACTACCAGATGGTAGTAATGGAGTTTACACGGTTGTCGGTTGCAAAAGTAGCTGTTTCGAGGAACTGGTAGAGGTCGACGTCCAATTGGCCAGAGCTGCACGGGGTCGCGGGAGTCTTGGCAAAGTCCGAAACTCCGCCGATACCGGTGCACTTTCCCGATTTGGACAATGGGCGGAAGAATCTCGCTCGGTAAGCCGTGATGGCGGACATCGGTCTTTCGGACTTTTAGCTATCAAGATTAACAGTACAAACAACCGAAGATATAGACAGGCTTCAGCAAAAACAAAACACAGGTCAGCATGGCTGTCAGCACAGTCGTGAAACGAAAACATAAAGGCCAGAGAAATCTTCAACGCTCTGGTTTTTGTAGGTTGTCGTCTGGTCAATTGCTATCTCTGGTTCATTTTCGATCTTCCTTCACTCAGCACTTTTTTTGCGGAACCTATCGTCCACAGAGCTCAATACTTCAGACACAATGGGGTTGGGGGACTTCCCGTCTGGGAACGAAAGGCCATCACCTTCCTCGTTATGCAATGATTCACTTCCAACCGTCATAACAACACGCTTGAGCCATGACAGATCTATCGAAGACGACCGTACTAGCGAGGGAATCTATGATCTGGCTCGGAAACTCACTGCTCAATCTCATTGCGCTCCCGGAGCTCTCTTTCAAGTCCCAGCTGATGGCCCGCTCAATCCGAACAGCCCAGATTTTGACGCTAGAAAATGGACAAGGTCATTTTTCGAAAGCAGGAGGAACGCCCTCAATAACAACCCACCGAAGACGGCCGGCGTGGCGTTCAAAAATCTTGACGTCTATGGATACGGTACCGAAATGGACTTTCAGAAAACCGTTGGAAACATCTTCCTCCAAGCTGGCACTATGACCGGGAAAATGTTACGCAAACGTCAGCACCGGGTCGACATACTACGCAACTTGGAGGGTGTTGTACACAATGGTGAAATGGTGGCTGTCCTTGGTCCTCCCGGCTCTGGATGCTCGACCTTCCTGAAGACCATCGCCGGCGATACGCACGGGTTTTACGTGGCAGACAATGCGACTATTAATTACCAAGGTATCAATCCCAAGCAGATGCAATCTGATTTTCGAGGAGAGGCCATATATACCGCCGAGGTTGACCATCACTTCCCTCAAATGACGGTTGGCGATACTCTCTATTTTGCAGCCAGAGCCCGGTGCCCCAAGAACATCCCCGACGGAATCTCTCGACACGAATATGCCGAACACCTTCGAGATGTGATAATGGCAATGGTTGGAATTTCCCACACCAAGAACACTCGCGTGGGTGATGACTTTGTTCGAGGTGTTAGTGGCGGCGAGAGGAAAAGGGTCACAATCGCTGAAGCTAGTTTGAGCTATTCGCCGCTTCAATGCTGGGATAACAGTACTCGTGGACTCGACAGTGCAAATGCCGTGGAATTCTGTCGCACTCTTCGGACGCAAGCTGATCACATGGGGTGTACCTCTTTTGTTGCCATTTACCAAGCGCCTCAAGACGCATACGATGTAAGTGCACATTCGATGCAAAGTTTAGAAAAAATGGAACTTACCACTTGTTTCTCTTAGATCTTCGACAAAGTTATACTTCTCTACCAAGGCCGACAGATATTTTTTGGAAAAGCTAGCGAAGCGAAACCGTATTTCGAGGACCTTGGCTTTGTCTGTCCTGAGCAGCAGACGACGGCAGACTTCTTGACCTCCATGACGAGCCCTCAGGAGCGCATAATTCGACCTGGCTGTGAGCACAGCGCTCCCCGATCGCCAGACGAATTTTCCGTGGCTTGGAGGGAGAGTCGGCACCGGAAAAGGCTGATGGAGGAAGTGGAAGCTTACTTACAGGCTCATCCGTTCCATGGGGAGGACTATGATAAGTTCCTCGAGTTGAGATGCCAGGATCAATCTAAATTCCAACGCAAACGGTCCCCATTCACACTGTCCTATATAGAACAACTGTGCCTCAACATGTGGCGAGGCTTCGTGTTGCTCAAGACAGATCCAAGTCTCACGATCACTATGCTGGTTTCTAACTTCTCCGAAGCTCTCATCATCAGCAGCATTTTCTATAACTTGCAACCCACCACGGACACTTTTGACAAACGAGGCCTTCTAATCTTTTTTATTATCTTGATGAACGCTTTTGGCAGCATACTCGAAATCATGACCCTGTATGCGAAACGAAAAATCGTCGAGAAACATAGCCGGTATGCCTTCTATCACCCGAGTGCTGAAGCATTTGCATCTATGATTGTGGACCTGCCTTATAAAATAGTCAACGCTATCATGATCAATACGGTTTTGTACTTCATGACAAATCTCCGTCGCGAAGCAGGTGCCTATTTTTTCTTCCTGTTGATCAGCTTCACCACAACGCTTGTCATGTCGATGATGTTTCGCTTGATTGGGTCTACGACCAAGTCAATCGCTCAAGCCTTGGCTCCCTCGTCGGTTATCCTTCTTGGTCTTGTCTTGTATACGGGCTACGCCATTCCTCCAGCATACATGCGAGATTGGATTGGCTGGGCTCGATGGGCGAACCCAATTTATTACACTCTCGAGGCCGCTTTGATCAACGAGTTCAACGGGCGCGACTTTACCTGCTCGACATTTGTGCCACAAGGAGCTGGTTACGAATCCGTAGCGTCAAGTACACGGGCATGTTCGCAACAGGGTGCGATTCCAGGACAAGACGTTGTGAGCGGTACGACGTACCTGGATGTTGCTTATGGCTATAAACCTTCTCATCGCTGGCGCAACTTTGGGATACTGATAGCCTTTATGCTTGGATATATGATGCTTCACTTGCTGGCTACCGAGTTTATTGCTTCCGAGCGGTCCAAGGGAGAAGTCCTCTTGTTCAGCCGGGAGGTCGTTAGCAAACATAAACGCCAACAACAACAAGACATTGAGAAGACCGAAGCAGTTGAACCCGTCAGAGAAGAGGCCGTACGCAAAGATGAAGTAGTCGATGTCGAAAAGCAAAAATCTACGTTTCACTGGCGGAATCTATGTTACGACATCAAGATCAAGGGTGAGCCTCGCAGGATCCTGGACCATGTTGATGGTTGGACCAAACCTGGTACTCTCACAGCTCTAATGGTATGCTGCAAAGCTGCATTTCAATATAGTTCCTATTTTGTTGACCGGGTATCTAGGGAGCGTCTGGCGCCGGCAAGACTACCTTGCTCGATGTACTCGCTAGCCGAGTCACCATGGGAGTTGTCACTGGCGAAATGCTTGTCGATGGCCAACCTCGTGATGAATCATTTCAGCGAAAGACTGGTTATGTTCAACAGCAAGACTTGCACCTTCACACTGCAACCGTTCGTGAGGCTCTCAATTTCAGCGCCCTCCTTCGACAGCCTCCACGGTACTCCCAGCAAGAGAAGCTCGAGTATGTGAATACAGTGATCAGTCTTCTCAACATGGAGGAATACTCCGATGCTTTTATTGGTGTTCCTGGTGAGGGTCTCAATGTCGAGCAACGTAAGCGACTAACCATCGGGGTCGAACTCGCCGCTCGACCAGAACTCCTTCTCTTCCTCGACGAACCGACTTCCGGACTCGACAGTCAGACATCTTGGTCAATTTGTAACTTGATGGAGAAGCTCACCAAAAATGGACAAGCTATCCTCTGTACCATTCACCAACCATCTGCAATGCTTTTCCAGAGATTCGACCGGTTATTACTGCTCTCTAAGGGTAGGACAATTTATTTCGGTGACGTTGGAAAGGATTCGCAAGTGCTGGTTGATTATTTCACACGCAACGGCGCACATTCGAGGCCTCCGGGAGCTAATCCGGCTGAGTACATGCTTGAGGTTATTGGTGCCGCCCCTGGTGCTCACACGGAGATTGACTGGCCGGGGATCTGGAGAAATAGCCCTGAGTACCGTGGCGTACAAGCTGAACTAGACGAGCTTATGATAATTTCGAATTCGAATCAAAAGCAGGGAAGCGATGACCCCTCTGCTTATCAAGAATTCGCAGCGCCAGCAAATGACCAGTTTCTCGAGGTGACGAAGCGCGTCTTCCAGCAATACTGGAGAACCCCGTCTTACATTTACTCCAAGGCTCTTCTCGGCATTGGCTCGGTTCGTTGACACTCTTCTCTCTTTATTATTAAACCAGTTTACTGACGATGTGGTAGACACTTTTCATAGGGCTATCCTTCCTGAATGCAGAGAACACCCAACGTGGTCTTCGAAACCAAATGCTTGGTATATTCATTTTTCTGGCTACTTTCCCTCAGCTGGTCAATCAAATTCTTCCGGTGTTTGTTTCTCAGCGGACCATGTACGAGGCACGGGAGCGTCCGTCTAAGGCCTACTCGTGGAAGGCATTTATGATCGCGAACATTCTGGTGGAACTTGCTTGGAATTCCGTCAGTATCTAATATTTCGTACATTTTGTGGACCACTGCTAACTTGCGACAGCTCGTGGGAGTTTTCTGTTTCGTTACCTGGTATTTCCCAATGGGCCTCTATCGCAACGCAGAGTGGACGAACCAGGTCCATTCCCGGGGTATCACTATGTTCTTGCATGTGTGGATGTTTTTCCTGCTTACGAGCACCTTTGCAAACATGGTAATTGCTGCCATCGAAAGTGCCGATGTTGCCGGTGGTATAGTGAACTTGCTCATGATTCTCATGTTCGCATTTTGCGGGTACGTTCTCCATTGACACAAACTATATGTATACAACTAACTCCAAAAAGCGTCCTCGCTGGCCCAATAGAACTCCCTGGTTTTTGGATCTTCATGTACCGCGTCAATCCATTCACTTACGTCGTCGAAGGCTTCCTCGGTACATCGCTCGCAAATGCACCCGTCCAATGCAGCTCAGATGAATTCATTACCTTCAACGCGCCAAATTTCACAACATGTGGCAATTATCTATCTGACTACTTGTCTCAAGCAGGTGGCTATCTCGATAACCTAAACAGCACGGAATGTCGATACTGTTCCATGAACGATACGAATGGGTTTTTATCGTCGATTAACGTCAGCTTTGACAATCGGTGGCGGGACTTTGGGTTTATGTGGGCTTACTGTGTGTTTAATATCGGGGTTGCTGTGCTGTTGTATTGGTTGGTGCGCGTGCCGAAGAGGAAATCTGGTTAGGTGGATTGAGTGCTGTCGGTTATTTGAGGAAGTAAATTGGTTGGAGAGGACTTGCTCATATTCGTATAGAAGCTTACATATTGTTTTATTCATTCAATGTCTACAAAAAAAGCGCACAAACCCAGTACTGGTAAATTGGTAGAGATTCACATCAAAACATACAACAGCCGCAAGCACGATCGTTGTCATGCTGAATTCGACGTACTATACCATGCTGGGGAATACACCAGAAAGTCTCACGCAGCGTGATGGCCCCACGCCTTTTCCAGCAACGTCGGGGTGGACAACGGGAGGAGTATATAGCTAAGACCGGTTTCAATCTCAGGAATACAATCAAGACGACATTTGATAGATGCATGGCCTGCGGAGACTGACTTCCAACAACCCACAGTCCAAAAGAATGGAGTAGACATTGAGTACGGAAAGTACCTCACCGAGGAAGGCTATCGGTTTCCTACTGTCCGGGTCCCCGTTCTTGGTAAGCTCCAGCAGGAACTGAACGCTAACTTCAACAAAGTATAGAGCCGCTCTACCGTGCCACTTGCAAGACCACGAAAGACACCATCCAAGCAATCGTAAAACTCCCCGAAGTACCACTCATCCCGTTCGTTTTCGATGTCAGCCTTGATGTGCATCTCTCGTCGAAGGTCGGCATCGATCTCACCTTGCCCGTCATTTTCCAGGAGAGTTCTTCTATGATACAACGGGTGCATTTTACGAATATAATCCCCGGGTAAGTGCCACGGAACAAACCAGGTAGGGACCAGGTAGGGCTTATTTTGAATCTTTGTACAAGTAACATCACCATTAGAATCCTCACCGGCGATAGCGGCAACTGTCTCTTTAGTGATGCTGATGAGCTCGTCCTCGTCCCGGAAACCGGTTCAGATAAGGATAGAACGGGTTACGTCTACATCACACCTGCGAGCAACGGGGATAGCACATTGCCACACTCAGACCATATTAGTACTGACCACTACTGCCACCAGCAGAATTTGAAGATAGCAGGTGCCAAGGAGGCAAGGAGGCAAATTACAATGCGCTCGGGAAGTTCGTCTTGAAAGCTAGCCAGAGCATCAAGGCCGTATTTACGGCTACCATCTACGGGGAGAAGGATAGCAGTTAGATTTATATTGTGGAAAATTGGGGAATGATTAAAGTCACAGGGAGTTTCGGATTCATAGGGGGAAGTTTCGGCACATGGATGGATGCCCAGATTTAGTTACTGTTCGGTTGCTTGAGTTTCTTCATTGCTATTATAATATAAATCGAACCTATAGTTCTGTTAATAGTCTCTAAGCTCGTAAGGCCGAATATCAGGATGATAGTGCAGAAGCTGCACGCAAAAGCGGGGTGAAAAACTACCCCGCCCTTGTACTTTCTCTACCATTCATCGACTGTTATAACTGTCTACAAGATTTCACCGGTCTCATCTAGCAGATAATATGGCTTCAGCAAAGCCTCCGTTCACGTTTGAATCGGCCACACTCAAAGTCAAGGCCGCTCAAAACCTCTGGAATACCCAGTTCGTTCGTTCATTTCCCGTCATACTTGGCCAATCTAACAAACCACAAGGAATCCGATTGAGGTTTCCAAGTCGTATACTGCAGATTGTATTTGGCGCAACCGGACCTCGTTTTTCTCCGGCACGGAAGCCATACAGGCGTTTCTTACGGCTAAGTGGAAAAAAGAAAAATCTTACCGCCTACGTAAAGAACTATTCGCTTTTACTGAGAATCGCATCGCCGTGCAATTCTGGTATGAATACCAAGATGCCGAAGACGGTCACAAGTGGAAACGCTGCTATGGATTGGAAGATTGGACTTTCGATCAAGATGGCAAAATGAAAAAAAGGATGATGACTGGAAATGATTTACTCCTAGGCCCAAATGGAGACGGCGAGGGACGCTGGTTTGTGGATGGAGTCGATGTCAATGAGGTGAAAATCAGCGAAGATCACTGGTGAATATCGCGTGTACGAGAGTCCATAGTATACGTGGATCTTGCTTGTTCTATGTGGATAACATTTTCTGATTGGTATCCTACGCTGCATCCCAATCAGAAAAGCTTATGAAATAAAAGCCAAGATACTCGGTAGCAGGATTGATGCCATGACCTTTCAATCTATCCGGTGAAACTATCAAGAATTGTTTGGGAGCTGCCAGCGACGAACTGCACTTATTGGTTCCATTTTCGGTTGTGACACCCAAGCTTAAATCTGGGTGAGAATACTGACCAAGTGAGAAAACCCGGAACTGGGTGTATCCCACTGTAGGCAAGTGAGGCATGAAAATCAGACAAAACATACAACAGCAGGGACACGCTGGTGGTCAACCACACAACTACTAACCGGCCGGCGTGTGGCTTAGCTTCGGTCAATAGTTCGAGAGTTATTAGTAAATCCAACCCTGAAGCAGCTTGGCAATGTTGGAGATCGCTGCCTTCCAGAAATGGGTTATATTCCATCTAGATCTACGTTGAAAAGGTGTAATTGTCATGAACACTAAAATACCCGTCCCTGGCCATTCTCATTATGAGAGGCTTCTTCGCCGGCCCAGCCAGTAAACGGAGCGCCGTGGATACCTGCTAGACGGAAGTAAGAACGCTGGTGTTCACAAGGCCGCTTCTGCATCAGAGCCAATGCCTCCACAAACTTGGCCCTAGTGCCAATCCTGCAGCCACATCACACCTAGCATTTTAGCTGGTATTCATAGGATGTTCCTCATACGCTAGAAGCATTCAAGGAAGAGAGCTGAACACGGAACCGGGTGGCGCGAGTCTTTACATGGGTCGTGCATAAATGCCTATATAACTCATCGGCCTATGACGCATTACCTGCATGTCATCAGTGAAATGGAAGACCACTTAGTGTGCCAAACTGTGGTTTAATTTATGTACTATGCATGCTGCATGCATTGTCATACTAAAGATCATAGCTCAGCTTAGGCTGCGGCAGCATCCGCAGAAAAGTGAGAAAGGAAGATTGGGCAGTTGATAGCGTCCGTCATTTTGCATTCTGCAGCTTCGGTAATGTCGTCGCCGAATGTATGCCGGTTTCCTTCTTCGTTGGGGATGAGGGGGCCCTGAGTATTGGGCCATTCGATGGCTTCGGAATACCTCATGTGAAGGAAGGGGCGCAATGGTCTGTGGAAGCCTGGGTTGAGAAGCTGGATTTGTGCGGCGGATTTCTTCTCGGCAAGGACTTTATCAATAACACTGATGACAACTTGTCCGATATGGTCGAGGAGGTCGGCGAAGTCGATGTAGTCCAACTCGGCCTCGACGTGGGTAAATTCGGAAAGGTGACGGCGAGTTGCAGGAAAGACATCTTAGTTAGCTTAAGACTGGGATTTTAAAGTGACAAGAAACGACATACTCAGGCTCTTTTCGGCACGAAATGATTTTCCTATGCAGTACACGCTTCCGAGGCCAGCTAGAGCAGTCTCTAGATATAATTGCGACGACTGCGTAAGATACGCCTTCTTGTCATAATAGGGCATTTCGAAAAGTGTTGCACCCCCCTCGACCTGCGTCTGCATCGGGGCTGGAGTAACTTTGGTGGTTTTCATCTCCCTGTACGTATCAATGGAGGCCAGTTCAGCAGCGGCCCTGACCTTCATTAATGCGGACGCTTTCTCTCCACGAAGAACCAAATGCCGATTGTCTAACACCACGACATGGTTTGAGTCACAGAGATCCGGCTTGTCAAAGTGTCCATGCCCGTGGGCGCGTGTCCGAGGATCTTGTAGTAATCTACAAGAAGTTTACGATCATCCGGGGCATGCTGACCGGGAGGCACTGTCTTCATCTCACCATAAACCGCCAAAGAGGTCCCTTGGGCGAATCGCAAGGCATCAACCAACCTTGTTACGTTTCCAGCTGAAATAAAGCACTGTATATGGCCGTAGCCGTCCGACAAAGTAATGAACATTGCCTGCTTCTGCGCGCGTAAACGGTGGATCCCTACCGCACACCTTCACTCTAACACCCTTCTTAGTGCCATTCCCCAACTAAATATCCTTATTCCCGATGTTGACCTTTGTAGCGCGAGGTAGCGACGTGTCCTCTGTAACAACATACTTCTTGGCCTCTTCCAGGGCTGCTTCTCGTTCCTTCTGCTGCGCCAACGAATTGAAAGGCCGGGCTTTGGATCCATCGGCGGATTCCTCGTCAACGCCGTTTTCAGTGTCGACGTAACATTTCCGGGGTGTTTTGGTCAGATCATCGACCTTGTTTGTAGGATTGTGTATACCTAGATCCTGAAAGCCGTAAAGCAATAGAATGATTGCGATAAAGAACCAGGATCTGATACAGGGTAAAGAGATAGAGAATCTGAGTACTTCAGGTTAAAACGATTAGAAGAGCTGCTCAAGTTATTGCTGCACATTGTACTCTGTTCAAAGTTGACATTCAGTGTGACTCATTGCCACATTCCAAATAGGTAGTTATTTCACATGGCCCGTGCGGAACTGGACCTTGGAAAGGAATAAGCCAATTGCCTCTCAGTAGTAAGAAGCGCAATAACAAAATGCATGTCATGGATTACTAGCTAATTTCTGCTGACGAAATGTCTACCCTCCAATGATCTAGGTATTACCGAGTCACGACTCACAAATGGCCTTCCTAGGCTCCGCGTAAATTATCGGAGGCCACCTTTATACTGGCATTCTCCACTGCCAGCACAAAGCTTGTTATATGGGATTCAAATTACCAGATCAGAATAGTTGTTTGCCGCCCTGTCCATCAGGCGGTTTCCATGGGATGTGATATGAAGCAAGAAAAGGAGAGTTCTAGGGATATTCAGTCCGTTAAGCAGGCAAATAGTGTAGATTAACGCAATTGACTTCCGTTCCCTTCCCTGTCCGTTTGGCCTCCGGTCCAAAAAAAAGAAAAAAAGTAAACCTCTGGTTTTCTTTCGCTTCTTCTTTTTCTTGTCGCTCAAGGGTTCTGGTGGATGAGCCTGTTGTTGGAAGGCGCAAAAGAACCCACTTCGCCCGGAACGAGGCACGGTCCATCGAGTCTTCCCTCGGACTTGACTCATAAAATAGACTCTAAAAAGTATAAAAAAAAAAGTCAGAGGAACGACTTGGTGGCATTTCAGAACAAACGCCATCTCCTGCGCCTTGTAAGAGTCATAGTTTCGATCAACATGCCTCATACTTCTACAGGGCAGCAAGAAAAAATGCTTAGCCAATCTGCATATTTACTATCTCTGCGGGCAAGATCCTCACTGAGAAACACAAGCAATGCCCTCTGGGACATTCTTACCGATATCTGGCACCCACAGAGCAACCCTCATGGCTATGTCACTCTCGGCGTCGCAGACAATACCCTGATGCAAGAACAGTTGCTATTCCGCGCGAACAGCAACTTCGAACTATCCGGACGGCATCTTTTGTTGAACGACACCATCACAGGTTCTCCCCGGCTGAAGACTGCCATCGCCCATCTTCTCTCTCGCTACCTTGACCCTTCAAAACCGCTCAAACCATCGCATATCATTGCCACTAACGGAGTATCGTCTGCAATCGAGCACTGCTCCTGGGCCCTGTGTGACCCAGGTGACGGTATCCTGGTGGGGCGCCCTTATTATCGAGGTTTCAACAGAGACATCTGCCTGCGGCCAGCGGCTAAGCTCATCCAAGTCAGCTTTGAGGGCGTCGATCCCATTGGCGTTTCGGCGATATCCAGATATGAAGAAGCCATCACCAGCTCCCGCGAGCAGGGCTGCACGATTCGAGCCATCATGCTCTGCAACCCGCACAACCCGCTAGGTCGATGTTATTCTCGGTCGTTTCTCGTGGAGCTGATGAAGCTCTGCTAGAGGTTCGGCGTTCACCTGATCAGCGATGAGATATATGCTTTGTCGGTCTGGAGACAGGGTCAGGATGGGGCTGCGCGTATGGACGAGTTTACCTCGGTACTCTCCATCCACCACGACGAGCTGATCGATCCAAGCCTCGTTCATGTACTATGGGGAGTCAGCAAGGATTTCGGAGCGAACGGGATGCGATTAGGGGTGGTTGTTTCGCAGGAGAACAGCGACTTGCTTGAATCGATCCGAGGAGTTGCCCAGTATAGCTCGATTTCCGGCCTAGCGGACTATCTTACAGCAACCATTCTGGAAGATGAAGAGTTTGTAGGTCGGTTCATCATACAAAACAACGAAATACTTGCTGCTACTTACGACTATGTCGTTTCTTTCTTGGATAACCATGGGATACCCTACGCGAGAGGGTCGAATGCGGGCTTCTTCGTCTGGTGCGATCTGTTAACAGCGTATCTGGGACTACAACCCGAGGGTTCATTCAATGGCAGCGAGTCTACAAGACGGATCAAAAGCGGGGAGCTAGTAGACAAGCTAGCCCTGCACAAGGTGCACCTTGGAATTGGCGATGAGTTTGGCAGTGAACAGCCAGGATGGTTCCGTATTACCTTCTCTCAGCACCGTGAGCAGCTTGATGAGGGTTTGAAACGGATCATGAATGCCCTTCGCTCTTAACGTCAATTGTACATAACTATAGAACCCAAAAGCGGTTGTGATCTGCAATAACAGCTACAGGATATTGTCAATAGCAGTTAACTACGTATTCCGTGATTATTACAGTGATGGTTCTACCTATACTCCTTGAGGTATGGCATCCAACTTAGCTTATGTCTTTATGGATGTAAATGAAATCACTATCTAGATAGGTATTGGATTCCGAGGCTACTTTGAATACATAAGATTGACCTAAGTTTTTAGGATAAATTGTTGACCCGAGTAGCGAGGTCAGGAGATTCTTATAGTCGACGTGCCCACATAACTCTTTTAAATCAAGCACTCAACCAGCTGTGTACGCGCACGTACATTCGTTAGGCAATATACCTCTCCCATCCAGCTAGTCCTCTCCATATAGACCTCGTTAGTCCGGAATAATCGACTCCTGATTTCCCCTTTGAACTACGATCCGAAAGACCCACTTCACTAACATAATTATGCTACCACGTGCCATTCATTCTATGCAATTTAGTGAGCAAACAGAGCTTTTAAAAGGACTCGCTGTTTCTTTGGCTGAACTTGTTCCCTCCTCGCAAATACTTACTGAGAACGAGTCTTTCTAGCATATTATCAGGCACTCCTAGTCCCTCCCCCCACCTCTCTTTCAAGATTATTCATGTCCTCGTCCCCAATGAATTCAGCTACAAGCGCAGTCCCAGGCCCTCAAGCCACCCTTTCTGGCTTGATAGTCGAAGAAGCCGAAGATCAATCTTCATCTATCTCTAATAGTCGAGCAATTACCATTATTGCCTGCATGACGTGTATCACAGGCATCGGGAACCTGCTAGCCGGTCTGTTGACTGTATGCACACCAGTAATCGCGATCGATCTGCAGGTTCCACCAGCACTACAACTCTGGCCAACCGCTGCCTTTGCACTCGCCTGTGGCTGCATCTTATTCCTCTGTGGTGCCGCCGCCGACGTGCTGGGCTGCCGGCGCGTCTGTCTGCTCGGGAGCCTGTTCCAGACCGCAAGTGCCCTGGGTTCCGGACTCGCCGCAACCCAATACAGCTAATTGCACTGCGAGTCACAGCAGGCCTCGCCGCCGCAGCATCGCCTTCGCTGCGATGGGCGGCGGCCAGGCCGTCAGCTTTGGTCTGGGACTCGCTCTAGGCGGGGTATTCGCCGACACCGTCGGCTGGCGATGGGGCTTCTACACTACTGCCTGTCTCAACGGCGTTGTGCTTGCACTGGCGCTGTGGTCACTCCCCTCTGGCGTAGACACGGATCCACCAATAAGCCACGCAATACTCACCCGGCTCCTCCACGATATCGACTGGGTTGGCGCCTTGCTTATCAGCATCTGCCTCGCGCTTATCTCGGTACGAGCTTGGCGTATCCACCGGCTCAGATGCAGGCCAAAGAATGCGCGAGCCACTCAACCTCGTGCTTCTATGCTCCGCATTAGTCTTCATCCCGGCCTTCACCTTCTGGATGAGCCGCCAGGCTCGTCTCAACCGCCCAGCCTTAATCCCCAATATACTATGGTCCCACCTCCCGTTCACAGCCGTCTGCATCACTGTCTTCCTAGTCTGGGGCTCCCTGAACGCCTCAGAGCAGCTGGCAGCCCTATACCTACAAGACATTCGGGGAAAATCAGCACTAATCACCTCTCTCTATTTTATGCCGGCACCCGTCTGCGGCGTGGTTATGAGCGTCGCCACGGGCGCCTTTTTGCCGCGTTTGCGGCCGTCAGTCGCAGTTGCCGCAGCCTGCCTTGTTAGCGGTATCGCGCCATTGCTTTTCGCGACGTTATGCGGTGTCGATGGTCCGGGGTATTGGCGGGGTGTTTTCCAGGCCATGGCGCTTAACCTGCTGGATGCAGACCTGATGTATACAATCGCGAATTTGATCATGACGGCCGCTTTTCCTACGGGGACGCAGGCGCTGGCGGGGGGCGTTTTTAATATGCTTGCGCAGGTAGAAAAGAGTTTTGGGATCGCGATGTCGGCGCTTCTTGCGCGGCAGATTACTGGCCAGATGCAGATGGCTGAGGATGGCACAAAAGAGGCCTTGCTATCTGGTTATAAGGCTGGCTGGTGGTATAACTGTTCAATGGGCTTTGTTTTGGTAGTGGTCAGTCTTTGGGGCTTGAGGAGTGTTAAAAGACTAGAAGTCAAGAGGGACTGAAGGCGTAGAAGTAGAGCATTCCTGAAGTAGTTGGTTATCCGACGGGATGCTTAGAACGTGTACAGGAGCTACATAACGTGATCGGTAAGCGAGCGACGCATGTAAGCGAGCGACGCACTATCCAACCGAATCTCACCCAACCATCTTAATCTTTTTTTATTGCCTACCATGCCACCAAATCACTCCCAATCCGCGCCAAATCGTGCCGAATGCAACCCTACGCGAGTCCAAGATTCTTCAATATCATGCACCAGAGCTGCCGCCAGGTCAGTGGCAGATCGGCAGGGGAGAGCCCCGAGCTGTTGAGGATGTAGGATCTTGTGTTTGATGGCTACCCAGGCGAGTCTGTGGGCAAGCAAACGTTCCAGATCTTTCCTTGGGGTGGAGAGAAGGGCGATTAGTCTATATGAACACGAGCTGCTGTAGTCTTTCTTCCCTGGCTTTGGAAGGGCTACCAGCAGGGCTTGCCGGAAGGGAGTTGGGTGCCATCCAGTTGCAGCACAGTGTTTGTAAAGAGCTGAAATATGGGGGCCAAGAGCAGGCCAGGCCTTCTTTAGGACTGCATTGGATATCTCATCTTGCCCAGGTGTGCTGCGCTTGGCCCGGAAAATAGCTTGGTATGCTTCTCCAGACGCGATGGTTGGAAAAGGGAGGGTTGCCTCCGGATTATCACTATTGTCAAAAGGGATGTCGTCTGTACAGGCAGCCTTCTGGAGAAGGGTTATCACCAGGAACTCTGCTTTGGCATCAGAAGTGGTGTGGTGTGACGGTCTCGAACAATATAAATTTATTGGTAGACTCTCTATCGAAATACTAGCATGGAGAAGGGAAGAAAGAAGCTAGGCCTGCCAGCGCTGCGCTATCTAATGTGCGAAGTGTAGCGGCTCAGCCCAGCGCCTTCATAAGCAAACATCATCAACACGGCAAACAATACCATGGAAGCAATCATGACAAACAAGCTGCTTAGCGAGACCACACACAACCATATGGGACCTCTTCACGTAAATAGACTTGCCTCTTATTTTCTTTTCTTCTCCAGATTCGATATTCTAGTCAATGGCTACACTGGTTTAGATAAGAATATCAATTCGTTAATATCTTCTAGCTATTGAGTCTGTGACACCCTCTGCCTGTCCCTGATAGATCTTGGCAAGACATTAGCATAGACTTCATCACACATTTCCCACTGAGCCGTGGGCACGATGCAATCCTGGTTGTAATGGACCGGCTGACAAAGATGAAACACTTCATTCCATGCAAAGGAACCTGCAATGCCGAGGAAGTGGCGCGCCTGTAGGCCTGCAATGTCTGGAAACTCCATGGCCTGCCGCAAACTATTGTATCAGATCGAGGACCTCAATTTGTTGCCCAATTCTGGAAACATCTAACACGTCGCCTGCAAATCACTAACCTGCTATCAACCGCATACCATCCTGAGACTGATGGCCAGACCGAGAGGACCAATGCTGCCCTGGAGCAATACCTCCGTGCTTATATATCATACCTGCAAGACGACTGGTCTGAATGGCTACCGCTAGCCGAGTTCGCCGCTAATTCTGCTTGCTCTGAGACCACCCCGACAATCCCAAGGTCTAGGCCCCTCATGCAGGACCTGTCCGGAACCCAGGATGGGAGACCCTCTACAATTTGGAAGTCTTGTCCCCCGACATGAGCCAGAAGCAAAAGATTGTCTGCGTCTTCCAATATCTTACTCGCCGTGAAAACATAGGTGCCGACAACCGAGCGGTCTGCATAAACAGGTCGCAGAGGCGGCTTTCCCTTGGTGTGATTTCCCAGGAGGCCAAGGAGGGAATAAACCTTGTCTTTGGGGTCTGAGCATTGAAACCGCCGCCCCTTAGTGAGACAATAGAGCAGACCGCAATATTCTTCTAATGACGCCATCTTGCTGTTTGAGTAGAGGTATAGTGGCAGGGCATTGTTTGAGTAATCTCGATCTCCTAGTTCATGCAATCCCATATTTAGGCATTGTGCCCAAGGCGTGAGTGCTAAAAAGGCTGACACGCGAACGATATAGTTCCAGTCAAGAATACGGCCACCACACTTCACTAGAAGGATTGGACATGAGGACATTTGGTCTAATTTCTTTGCTGCGAGGTCGGTCTCAAGGCGCCGAGACTGCGGAGGCGCTGTCTCCATAAACTGCTACATGGAAATCCATCATGGACAAGCGAACTCCTGTGATGTAAGATAGGCGGATAGACTGCGGAAAACAGAAAGAGGACAGTCGGATTCCACAGAGCCAGAGAAAGTGACAAAGCCGTCCACCCTAAGACAGCATATCAGCTCCGACAAAACGTGTAAGGGGGGGAGAAAGAAACAAGAACAAGCTTTCAGCCAACAGGCGCCACAGGAGTTTATCAGGATCACCCGATCAAGAACCAGTTCAATCGCTATCACAAGTGGGAAAAAGGGCTGTGTGATAAAGCGAGAATGGCGGCTGGACAAGGGGCCACGTCAGCCGGTTGGTGCCTTGGATGAGATGAGGATGAGGAGAGAAACGTTGGAAGAGAGAGAATTGTCGTTCGGCGACGCACTCGACGGTTTATATAAATAGGACAGGTTCCGGGGCGGCGGTGGTCAGCGGCAGATCCCATTTGGGCCTAGTCGATGGCGCTAAACCTGGTCGGGTCACGCTAAACTGCAAAGGGATCGATGCCATGCCGAATTGGGCGGCGACGGGCGCGGCGCTAAACCGAAAGAAGGGGCAGCCGAAACGGGCGACAACTCTGCAATTCGCATTTCTCCTCAATAGTTCCTTGGCAAATCCTTCAGGGAGCAAGCAAAGCCGGCTGAGGCTCGGTTCTCACAGTAGAAATAAGTGACGCATCCCCTCTTTGCGTTAGAACAACGTGATACACATTATGAGTCCTCAGTATTCGCTGGTAAAAGATAATAATGCACGTAATAGGTCAGAAAGCCATGCTCCGTCCGAAGATGAACATACCGGGGACAAGCCCGAAGAACCACCTACGACAGAAATCGCCTCCACATCCTATATACTTGTTCTCGTCATCCTGTACGCGGGCTTTGCAATCTTCGCTTGGACAGTTGTCTGTGTCCTTACGGTTCGACCGATAGGCACCAGCCACTACGGTATCTGGAACAGCAAAACCTACTACGACTTCGGCGGGAGGTATACGACCAGTGAGAACTGGTATCGAGCTGCGCGTGTAATTCAGTCGATCACCAGTGTCTTGACCATCCCATTAACCTCAGCGGTATGTTCCAGTGCAGCCGTCATCTACCTACAGCAGTCGTCGCAGGCCAGCCTTCGCCAGTTGATGACAATCGCGGACCGGGGGTGGACCTCGCCCGAGACATATTACCGGCTTGTTGCTACGAAGACGGGCTGGAAACGCCATGGAAGCGGGTTCTTGCTGCTTGCGATCCTATTGAGTATCCTTGGGGGTTTGATCGCCCCGCTCCAGCAGATCTTCTTATCTGCCATCACAATCAAAACTCCGACGTCGCCGCAAGAAATTTCAGGCCTCTTCGAAATCGCCGACAAGTTTGACGGGGACAGTTTCAGCCCAGAAAGTCGTGATCGTGGTGGTACAATCATGGGGACCCGGAAACTCCTTGAGGCTACCTTGGCTGGACAGAAGCAATCACTGCTGTGGCACGAAGGTGGCGACACGGCAGCATGTAATAAATCATCATGGAAATTCAAAGAGGGTGGCCCATGTCCCAAGACGGGGGCATCGCTCAATGAAATCCTCCAGCTGCAGAACCCATTTCTGGCGCCACTACCGCCAGAGTTCACCACGGGTCTGTTGCAGCAGTTTCTCCCGCGGATCAACTCGACTGCCAGCTGGCAGAAGATTGACCACGCACAGTGGCCAGCTAACTGCGACCACAATGGAGCGTATCAGGTTCAATGGTCCAACACCACTCACGTGGGTTACCCCAAGCCCTTTTTCTGGTCCCTCACAGCGTGCATGCCCCCAGATCTGCTTTCCTCTCCCTGGAAGCCAGTGAGGAAGCGACAGGACTTCACCGAAGAGCTCTACCTGAACATTACGATAAGCACACCTGGTCGAATCGACAAGAGCCCAGGAAGTGTTCCTTTAGACTGGGGGGAATTCCATGATAGCCCACCTGAGGGCTCACTGTTCCGAGTGACGATGAATACCACGGCCGGATATTTCGAGTTACCCAACTATATGAATCAACAGACCGCTGGCCCTTTACTTGCTGAGGACCCGAATGAAGCCTGTGGACCTCGGTGCATAAACCAAGGATTGCATAGCATCCGGTGAGTTCCTCTTACTTCCAAATTCGTATATGGTTGCAATTAACAACCCCTCCACCACCATAGTAACCGAGAAATCCTCAATGCTCGAGGGAACTTCTCCTATAACGCCCCAAAGACCCCAGAGCAAGTCTATAATAAAGGGCCTCTGTTTCTTACCACCCTGGCTCTTTTCGGTGAAGGGTCCTTTCTCCAAACACTCCTCGTGAGCAATCCATCTATCTGGTACACTGGATCCTGCGTCAACCTGTTCCCACTGGGTGGCTTTATCAAAATCAAAGAAGAGTGGGAAAATACCCTGAGTCGCGCCTGCGTCGACCGCCACTATGAGGAACACTCCGCATTATTCAACGCAGCCCTATGGCTCGAGGCCCTGCACGGCCAGGAGGATCCAAACATACTCAGCAATACATTTACAGCAGCTGCCTACCTGGCCACCATGGCGTGGATGTCCGATGAAACGTCTTCGTATGACTTCGCGCCTTCGTATAGCTTCGCGGTGTCATCCGATCTGGGCGCAAACACGGAAAAGCCCACCATGTCCTATGCTGGGGTTATTGTCGTTTCAGTCCTACTCGCTATAGACCTTGTGGCGCTTTTTGTTTTGGCTTTTTATGCGAGTTGGTATCCTCGCTGGACTGGGCTGTTGGATTCATTCACCATGCTTCGTATCGGGTCGAAGCTGGGGGATCGGATCCCGTTGAAAGTGGTCACAGACCAAGACAATGTCACAGTGTTGGATGAAATTCCGGGATGCGTACGGGACGTCACATCGGAGAAAGAATTTGGACAGGTAGGGTTGGGAACAGGGGTGCCATTGCGTGGAAAGAGACGGTATGAATGTTATCCCGCAGGACCCCGGGGGCGGGAATGAGAGGATATTACCAGGTATATTGTGAGACACGGCAGGTTAACTACGATCGGGAAAAACGAATATGGACGCAATGTACGATTCCTATGCCGAAGGAATTGATGAGTCTATTTAACTGTCCCACCAATATACATCCCAACATGCCTACCAGCTCAACTGCGCTGCCTGTCTTATACACTCCCGCATCTTGTATCCATAGACGTCCAGAGCTTCCTTGGGCAGTAGTTGGCTGCCATGAGTCTGATGAATCGCATCAACAGGCTGACGGGCGTTGAGCAGGCCATGCCTTGCTGCCTCACTGCAATCTGTATTTGATTACGTTAGTAGTAGCGTTTTTGCCAGTGTCATCCTTCAAGCAATCTCTTGGCTGAATCTCTGAGATCTAGCCTCATCGGTTATCAGGGTTGTGGATCCAGGCAGGGCAGGTTACCCGCCGCTGCTCCGCATCTTGAAGTCCAGTCGGACTACTTTATTCCAAAAATGCATCAACCGGCCGCCCACTTGGAGACTTTCCACGGTAAATGTGTGTGGGGTATTGAGTTAGTATAGCTACAAGGGAAGCTTCCTCTTCATTGTCTTCACGAAATACCTCTCGTCTTTTCGGGGATCTGGTGGACACCGGGCAATCATCCGACATTTCCCCTCGCCTCTTAGACCAAGGGTTGCAGGTAAAAAGTCTTTCGGAGTTGCTGATACATGATTTCAGTGTCTAACAACCTCGTTCCTCTCGCTATCATCAAAGGCGCTGGCCACGAGTTCATCCCCCTTCCCCAGGGCGAGAACGCAACTACAGCCGATTTCCACTCAATCCGGACCAAGACTGATTCATTCCCCTCATACTTTACCTCTGGATTCTATAAGATCGAGGCGGGGCCGCAAAGACCGGCACACTACACTTTTTAGGAGACCAAGTATGTCCTCAATGACCAGATTGATATTTTGGTATGCCAACTCTCTTGGAAAGATATTTTCCCGGTCTTGTACAATATTGACGGTTGTGGTTTCGTTTGACAGGACGAGGCTACTGGAATCACCCATCACCTAGTCCCAGGAGACTTTACTTTCCTCCACGTCGGATCCAAGGTCAAGGTTTGCCACGACCCTCTCTACCATCCTCCCCTCTACCCGAGTCTCCCTTGACACAATGAGCGATTGGCTAACAACTCTATTTTCTTCTAGTTCTCGACCAAGTCCTACGGTTTGGCCTTCTACACCGTTACTCGACCTGTTCGAAACCTTCACCCTAACCTGAAAGACCGAGAGGAAAAAGCCAGGTTTTAAGGAAACCAATGGAGTCAAAAAGGAATCCTCATATCTTTGACAAGTGTGAGTTCATGAGTGGTAGCGGATATTCGCCATTTCAACTATTTCACCGCATGTTTTATCACACAATGAACATAGAAATACACCATCTTCTGACCTA